AACAGCAGCAAACGCTGACCGTGTGCAATTGCGTATTCTGTTACTGTTCATGCGCCGATTCAATTCTGGGGGATTAATCATAAAACAATATTTCCCATTGTAACGGGTTTCTAAACAACTGACTATTTACCAATACTCAAAACAAAAATCAATAACCAAACTCACCTACAAGTTTTAGCATACAAATTGTTTTAGATATATTGAGCCAAATACCTACGAAGTAAGTTTCAATCAATACCTTTCAAATGCCCTATAAAGAACGAAAATTGGACGTAAAATGGCAGAGCGATCTAGGTATAAACAAAAACGCAAGCACAGCATCGACGTGGGACTTCTAACCGAGACCCACCTAAAGTCCGGCGACTGCTTCTGGTTGCCTGACCACAACATTATCCGGCTTGATCGCACCAGCTTCATGGGGTGGCTGTAGCGGTCATTTTCAGGAAGGGAATCAAGTTCTACACTCTGCCACACATCCGCACTTCTATCATCGAGGTCCTAAGTGTGCAGGTGAAATCGCCAACTGGTAATGTATGATTCATCGCTGTTTACTGCAAATTCAAGAACAACCTGGCCGCCATGACTCGTACTAGCTCCCGATTCATCGTTGGGGCGACCTGAATGCCCGTCATAAAGCTTGGTAGAACTACCAGCGGAACCGGAACGGATGTCTATTATTCGACCACGCACAGCATGGACTGTACACTGTGCAGTTTCCGGACAAACAAACTTTCATCCCTCCGGCGGGTAATCCGTCCACCGTGGATTTTTTCTGTAGAACATCGGACTATCCAAGCCGGAGGCATACAACGATCTTAGCTCCCTCCGATCACCAACTGGTGGTGGTAGCTGAAGTCGGTGTCAACGTGGTTCTTGCTGGAAGCTGGATGCGAAAATACTACCAACTGGGTACAGTTCGGACGTATGGTGGACAGCAAAATCGAATAAAATCCACCGCTCGGCCCCGTAGAATACAGCGACCGGGCGTTGGAAGGACTCCAACAGGCCATATTCGTGGCTGACAAGGCATGTGTTCGACAAGTTCCTGTGAGGGGTAAGTTTGTTACTATTGATTCCCACACCCAATTACTGATTCGGTTGAGAAATGTTCGTAGACGCCAGACGTGTGATCCAGAATCTGAACGACCGCTCCAGACCATTCTGGAAGGTAGCCAGGTCTTAAAAACTCATCCCAAACCCGTACCACCTCTCAGAGACGAATATGATGATGATCGACTCTTAATCACCCCCAAAGGAGAAATTAAATGCGATCGGCGAACATGTCGCTTCATCGCATTTACTTGGCTCGACTATACAAAGTCCGCTCGACAATCAGGTTGCGCAATGCGCTCAAAACCAAGATACCTCCCCTTGTGTCGTTCCTCCGGCGTTTGACAGCATATTCAACTTAATCTTGAAGAGACTCAGCATGAAAGTGCAGTCTCTTTCGACCGCTATCTTCAACAGATGCTTGGAGCTGCACTACTTTTCAAGCGTCTGAGAGGTAGCAAAAATTATACCAATCCGCAAACCCTGTAAGGATTCAACATAGCCTTCAAGCTACAGATCAATCAGCCTCCTGTCAGCGTTGAGCAAATTGTTCGAGAAATTCATTCTCAATCGTTTGCTCAAGTTTGTTGAGGGCTAGGGTTCAGGAAGGGGCACTCCACCAATCACCAGCTAGTACGGGTGATGAATAACATCCGAAGTAACAAAGCTGTGTCCTAGTGCACAGCCATGGCCTTGCTAGACGTTGAAAAGGCGTTTGACAATGTATGGTATGACGGACTTGTGTACAAGCTTTCCTTTACATCTGGTTAAAATCAAAAATGAATGGTTGTCCTTCAGGCACGTTTTCCATCCCAGCAGGTGTTCCTCAAGGGTTGGGTCCTTTGCATTACAGCATCTACACTTCCGACATTCCTCCCTCGGAGACGGTAGCGTTTTTCTTCTGTTCGCAGATGATACCGCAATAGCCGTCAAAGGAAGGATGCCTCGCGAAATAACGAACAAACTTCATCGATGCCTCGACGCCTGCTGATTATGCCAACACGTGGAAAATCAAAATTAATGCCTCTTTAAGCTCCTTTTCCGTTTGCATGTAGAGAAAACCGTAGTCAAGTGTTGCCTTGGTTAGGTGTCTTTTTCCGCTTATTTGCCGCAGATCCCGCCTCTCAAGGGTAACCAAACTGGCTGTCTAAAAAATAAATCATAGCACCTGCGATCCTTTACGCAACTCCGGTGCGGGAATCATTTGCACAGACTCATAGGACCAAATCAGAATAGAGTGCTGAGGATGGCCCTTGATCGTCCCTTGGATACAAGAATTTCCGATAAAATTGCTGACATAAAGACTAGGTTTGTGCAGAAATGCAACACATCAGAACATGCTTTTTTTTTAGATTATAGTCACTTTAACACTCTTGGGTCATTCGTGACTTGTCCGGGGGTGAGATTTGAACTCGTGACTTTGGCGTGAGAGGTATGGATGTTAACCACTACGCCGGGGTCGCCCCCTATCAGAACATGCTTTGATAAGCAATTTGTATATAGTATGTTAGGTAAATATAGTAGTTGTTGGATAAGTTGATACAGTAGTTGTAAATAATAGTTACAAGTAGTCTCCTATATCCAATTTTAAACAAACCAAGGTGGGAATTCTCTAAACAGGTCTGATAGGACTAGGAACTGTAAATATTAATTAAAATTTCAAATGAACTAAAGTTCAAAAGACACGTCTGTGTCACTTGATAATTCAAACATGTAAACCACACAAATACAAGAAATAAAGATCATTTAAAGTCAAAAAATAAAATATCATTCGTACTTCAGAGTTCCACCAAACCACACGTTTTTCACTAAACAAACAAATAATTACATGTATTATTTACAAAGACTACTTCACGTTTCAAAATCTGGAAGTGTGTTTGCAGTACCATTATCCATATGATAGCGATAATGTTATCATTGTATGTGAAAATAACCTCGGAATGGACGTGAATCATTCTGAAAAAGGTTGCTGGATCTGCAATCTATCACATTCTAACTCCCAGATTTTCAATTGTTAATTCAAGGATTATTGCAAACAAATTTCTCTCATAATACCACTGCCGACCCGGTGTTAGAATGAATACACACACACATACACATAGCTCGAGGCTCGAGGGTTCCTTCTAGAGAGGGTCCAGTATAAGAGAGGAGCGGACTGGCTGATTTTGAGCCAAACGAACTGTCAAAGCCAGAGCCAATCGAGCAGCGCCTATCTTGATTGTATTGGCAGTGTTGCTAGAAATCTCCTAGGCATAGGTTGCCAGGGTAGTTTGTTTTGAATCCGCTCCTCTCTTATACTAGACCCTCTCTAGTTCCTTCTATATCGAATTTTTAAGAACTGACTGAAGCCATTTAGGCCGATGTCATAGTGAGAGCGAAGAGGCGAGCAAAGCGTTGAAACTTTTTTTCAACGCTTCGTTTCGCTCTCACTATGGTATCGGCCTTGGAGCAGGGACATTTGACCTCAGGAACATTTGTCAGAAACGATAATTTGAAACTAGAACACTTTCAGCAACCTAGAGAAAAACATTTGAAACATGGGAAACTTGTTGCATTCAGCGAACTTGCTCTAAATGTTGTATTGGATATAATTGTTTTTAATTTTAAATGGTTCAAAAAAAAAATTGGGAATCAAAAATGTAGCAACATCGAGACTTAGAAAAGCTACTGCAGTTAGAAAGTTTCTACGACTTAAAAAAATATCCACACACGGAAAGAGATCCGCAACTCACCCTAAGGAAACTATTCTTGATCCTAGGAACATTTCAAATTTATTGGCATTCTGGGTCAAAGAAATAATCGGGAGGGAAACAAACCGATATTAGTAAGTACAATCCATATGAACATAGAAAAAGAAATCAAAATCTCTCGATCTATATTTGAAAGGGTCAAGACTAGTCAACAAAACTTGAATTAATATCCTTTTCGCACGAACCGAAGCTCGCCAATGCAAACCAACGACACCATCGGGTAGGAGAAATTTTCGTCTTCCCGATAGTGTTGTTGGTTTGTGAAGGCGAGGCATAACAGTTTTTATTCACTAAAGCTGATAGGTCCTTTTCTATTGTTGATCGAGATCTCGAACCTAAAGCAGTTTATTTTATCATAGTAGAACTGGACAGACGTCTTAGGTTGCTTTTGTGAAATAAATGTGAAATTCGTCATGTGAAAAATCCGTCCGTTCGAATTGTTATTTCAGTTGTATGTCATTGGCGTTTTGTAAGTTTAGCAAATTATCCCTTATTGGGCACCTATCTAAGACCAGCACATGTTTCAGAATTCCGGCACTTATAAATTCAGGATAGGACAATTAAAAAAACAGCAAATGTGGGAACGCGAAAAAAAAAATCGAATTATTTTTTCGGTCATTCGTACTTAGAAATATTCTATAAGGGTCTAATGAGAAATTAATTTCCGAAATCCCAGACTTTGACATTTTTTCACGGTTCCGTGCTTGAATGATTTTGCGTAGTAGAGGTCTCCCTCTTTGAATTATGAGCGAATTAACCGTAACCATGTTTTTTTTTTATTTTTAATCGTGGATTAATCTTGCTTCATCTCATTGAACATATTTCAAAGTCTTGTGAACTTCAAACGTTGAGCACAAAATTTTGAATTAGCACCCATCTGCAAATGCCTTTCAAGAATCGGATTCCTAACAACAGAAATTATAAAAAAAAAACCCACGCGACATCTCAACTCAAAACATCTACAAGCACACTTCCTGCACCACGGAAACAACAACAACACGAGTGCGGAAACATAATGCACACCGGAAATGTTGTAGATTAACCAAGCTGAAAAGGTAAAACGTCCGCAACAGTGAATTGCCTGCAAGAAATAGGTTTACACGATTGGTAAGACCGAGAGCGAGACATTACAGTAAACCAATTCAAACCTATTATGATGATGAACCTGAACAACCCCCGGTCCTTGCGAACCGCACTTACCTGGTCCTCATTTAGATAGTTCGGCAAACCACCGATGAAGATCTTGTGCGGCGAATCTGGAACGACTGTACTGATGACGCCGGAGAATTTCTCTGTAAAACAAATCAAAATCGTTAGCCCCCGCAAACTACCAATAATTCAACAACTAACCCGGTACGGAAATGGTCGCCGAATCCGTCATACCAGGCATGGGCTGGTAATCGTGTGGCCGCCTTATCTTCAAACTTTGCCCTTTGAAGTTGATTCCATCGAATGCCATGGCCTGAGTCGTTTCATCGATCGAGCGGAATTCCAGGAAAGCAAAGTTCTTGTCCAGATTGATCTGACACGCCAGCACCGGATTTCCGGCCGCCTGTGCCAGACCGGACAGGTGCATCTGCTGGTTGAAGAACTCCATCATCTCCTCCTCGGTGACGCCGAACGGAATGTTGCCCACGTACAATCGCCGAGCCTGACGCGTAATGGTAGATCCTACGACCGGGACAGCCGCTTGAGGCGTGTCCGCTACGATATTGGCCGGAATCTGCCCGGCCGCCTGCATAGCCTTATACTGTAGGGGTGTAATGTGCTCGAAGCCCGGTGGCGGGACATCCCAGTACAGGGAAGGCTTCCTGCGGCGCGAGCGACCCTTCCGGTACGGTGACCTTGACCGCGAACGTTTTCGGTCGCGACTACGACTGCGACGACGCTCACGGGACCGGGAGCGGGAACGATGCCGTCTGTTGTTGCGTTCTCGATCTGCGGAAGTAACACGCAAAAAGTTGTTAGCTGATGCAGGTGCTAAGAACGCTGCCCACCAAAAACCAGTCTGACATATTGATTTTTTTCCTTCCTCTTCACGCCGTGCAAGCACCGAACATTAAATTGCAAATTACTCACCCATTTTCTGCAGAAAATGATCGAACTATACGCCAAAAGAAAGCACTGACAATGTGAAACTAGTTTTTGATTGTTTTAATAGTAAATATCGTAACTCTATACAACAAAATGGGAAAAAATTGAAAAACGCACCAGGCTTCCCAGGATGCCGATGCCAGATTGCCAAAATGAAGGAAAATTTCAAAGAGAAGCAAGTGAAACACGGCACCATGGTGAATATGCTGCATTCTTGTCAAAGTCAGTGTTGCCAAATTGCAGGTACCATAAAAAAAAACCGTTGAAATTCACGGTGGGTTCCTACCAATTTATTGCATATTTTGCCCCCAATTAGATTCCCAGCAGAATAATTTTGTCACACCACAAAATGTTCACACCGTTTTCAGCATACATTGGTTCATTTCGATGCCACAGTTTCATGAAGCGAGGGTGAGTAATCGGGAACGGATCAAACATAACTTGGAAGTCCCCCCAGCATACCAGATTGTATGAGATGAAGCTGAGAGTATTAGATTACAGTAATGACATCTAGATCGTTGATTTCCGGGTCCAGTGATTACAGCGTTATGTAGGTGCTCAAGGGCAAACAGCTCACGAAGAACTTGGATCACAAAGGTATTGTAAAATAGGAAGACGGCGGTGATTCACAATGCGGAAAATGTTTCATTGGGTGGTCAGATGATTTAAATCGGCTGGATCTAAAATGCTCTTTATTCGGCGTTATTATGTTTGGAGTTTATTTATATTAAAAATAATTGTTAATGATTATTTTAAATTTGTTTATAAAATTCATGAAAAAAGCAATGAATGGCACAGAACTAATACATTTACCAAATAGAGTCACACTATACATCATTTGCATATTTGCAGTTTATACTATTGGATGTATAATCCATTTTTATTCTAAGTTCCTATTCTCTCTCTTTATACCAAGCTATGCGTCGGTCAGAGCAACCCTAACGGTCGTTGTCATTTGCGCGACTATTTTAACAGCGCACAGCGCTCTCATTTTAGTCATTTTAGAGTGACTAACTTCTCCACACCGGTCGCTGCTATCGCGGTATCAATTTACTCGCCGTAGTCCGTACCGGTAGTGAGCATTTTGACAAGTCTACGAATAGCAACCTTTCTCCCGCGCTGCTAAATTTGGTAACGCGCTTCTCACCGAGAAACCGACTGCTATTTTAGTTACTCGTATGACAACCCCCGATACGGTAGCTGCGCTATGATGAGGGCTGCTAGAATGAGTTTAGCAGTGTACCGTTACGGTTGCTCTCAGGAGAGTTGCGATTTAGCGTAGCTTTTATACTATTTAGATTTGAATATTTTTTGAGTGCAGCACGGAAAACAAATTAATGGAAAAAACAAAAATCAGTATATGAACCAAGCAAGCGAGACACCGGACATTGACTATGATTTTTTCTTTCTAGACGGATACAAATTTTGTTCATTTAAAACAAAAATATAAATGTTTATACTCTAAACATATGAATTATTGAAAGTAAATTGAAAGCATGTTTAAAACTAAAATATTTATGTTTGAATTAAATTCAAGAGCATGTTTATTTCAACAATATAGGATTTGGGTAAACGGTTTTTAGCGTGTCATGCCTTTTTATTTCCTTCTTGTAACATTCGGAAAAAGTTGCTCAACTCAACTCAACTCAACTCAACAAAAAACGGCCCGAAAGTGGCAAAACCGAAGATGGATCCGGAAACCAGCTCGACAAAACCAGCGGAACCCCACAGTATTAACTTCAGTTTCTGATGCCGATCCTTATATCATCCTCCTCCACACGTGACTTCGAAAGGACAGCAAAATGAATCCATTCCGGATCCTCCTCCGACACCGAATATATAAAGAAACCGATATGAGGACTAGTGGCAGAACAACAAAACGACGCTAATATAGCAAACCCCCGGACACCCGACGGATCCCCGCATCCCGGCCCAGGACCCGAATACTCGCAGGGTGAAGCAGGAATTTAGATGCCCTGCTCGAAGATTTTTTTTTATTTCTTTGCAATCTGCACTAAACTATTAAAATAATTTCAAAATATGTATGTTTATTTTTAACATGAGAAGCATGTTTAAAATAAAAATATTTATTTTTGTTCGCATAGCTGTCAAACCAAACAAAAACAAATACGTTTGTTTTCAACACGAATATTTTTAAAATAAACGTAACATTATTTTATTATTTTAAATATTGATTTCACATGACTTCAAACATGGAATACGTTTGAAATCAACCTAATTTATGTTTGTGGTCAGAACAAACTGAGTTTACGTTTAAATTAACCTCAAACATTTTTGTTTTGACGATAGTTTTTTCTGCGTGTACAGAACGAGGGTAAAATCGAATGTCGCGTGTGGGTTTTCTGGTGTCCAACTTGAACAACAATATAAATATATAAAAAATATGTATGTTTTACTCATTTATGTGTTACGCTGGTTACCGTGTCGATATGAGTGTCTGCACAGAAAAACAAAACTACCCACCGCTTGGGTTTTTTAAACTCAAATTTGAGTTATTTGACCTCTGCCCGTTTCATTTCCTCTCGCTATTGTTGTCAAAAATAGAACGAAAGATTCGACTCAACCGTCTAGTTCCGTACGAGAAGCCAAAATTGAGTAATATGCGATATACCCAAATTTGAGTTAATTGAACTTAATTTTGGGTAGAAAAAATTGAAAATAACTTAGCGATGAGTAATTTTTTTTGCCGTCCTTAAATGCAAACTTCTTTGAGCCGGTTTACCCAAATTTGGCTTATCGTACGGAACATGGGAGATGAGTGAAAATAACTTAATTTTGGGTTGTTTTGAATTTCTGTGTGCGTTGCATTAATATTTATTTGCAGCACTGGTAATGGTGAATATATTATGATGCTTTGTGCGCTTATGAGCTGTTATATCCACCACTGCTAGTTCACATGTGAAGCTCGGTGTGAACTGTTGCAAAATAGAAAAGTCATATCATAACAGACACAAAAAACCGCTGCATCGCATATTCGGCGCATATTTTTTGTCGTGTTGTTTCCGTTGTTTCTCGTTCATTCTAATACAAAATTTTATGTTCTATTGACAAAATTGATCCAGTTTTGATGCTGAAGTGATTAATGAATCGTACAAGAAAGCAGCAGAATAATGCCCAATGTTATACTGAAATCCGTCGAAAGCTTCAGCAGTGAAGATCCGGTACGTATTTCAAAACGCTGAATTTAATAGGTAACTGTTCATAAGATCTAACACGAAATACGATTGTAACATCTCGTTTAGAACTTCCCCGCTTCAAACCTCCTGGCCAAGGAAGCGCGCAAATGGAAGTGTCGTGAAGCAGGCGAGAAGAGCGCCTCCGTGGTGTTGCGTCTCGAAAAGCCACTGACCATCCACGGGATCGATGTGGGAAATGAACACTCGGCGTTCATTGAAGTGCTGGTGGCGCGCAGTGGACCTACGAATCCCGAATTTAAAGAAATATTGCTGATGTCTTCGTTCATGACTCCGATCGAGAGTAGAAATTCGACTAGTAGCAATCGTGTGAGGTGTTTTACCGCTAGTGCTTTGGTGGAACCGGTTGCACGGGAACAATGGGACCTGGTGAAAATTATCTGCACACAACCGTTCAATAGCCGAGTGCAGTATGGGGTTGCGTTCGTGACCCTTCATACGGCAAATGTGGAGAAGAAGCACGATAAACCGCTGGTCCCGGAAAAGTTTAAGAAGCAGATCCAGGAGGTGATTCGTACACAGGAACAGCCCAAGGTAATGAAGTTGGGTAGGTTTACGATTCGGGAGGAATCACCGGACTCACCGGATGAGGGTAATATTTCGGCATCGGCACTTTTTAATCGCTGGAAAGAGAGCCGAACGGGATTGGCAAGTCCGAAAGCAGCCAACAGCTCGACGAAAACGAGTGTTTTGTCAACTGCGGCTGCAATCCGGAATGCATCGACCCCGGCTGGAGTTAGAAATAGACAATCCACTCCGGTGGTCAACAAAAAGCCGGTTTCGATAACACCCAAGACGAAACCTCGGCTGTTTGATGATGATGATGATGGTGAAGACGACGCTAAGTCGCTCAATAGGAATCGTGAATCACTTTTATATGATAAGGATGACGATAAACCTAACGAAAAGTTGGAGAAGAAAATAGCTGAAGATCGTGCTCGTCAACAACGGGAAAAGGACGCAAAAGTGGAGAAAGAAAAACGAGATCGGTCACTTTCGGAGAAGAAAGGAAAAACCCACGATTCGTCGGCACCGAAGTTCAAAGACTTTTTGTTCGATGATCCACCTGTGAGCAAAAATCACTCGTCTGAGAAGAAGTCCAAAGAATCGAGTGCGTCCGAGGACAAGCGACATCGGTCTAGATCTCCACAGGCGAATGGTTCATCCCCGGATAAACATCAACGGAAGCGGCGTGACTCAAAGGAAGATGACCACCGGGAAAAGAAGTCATTTTCTGATGCGAGACAAAAGCGGCCATCTGAATCACCAGCAACAACAAAAAATCAACCGTCGAGCAGTGGTAAAGAAAGATCTGCCAGCAAGAGACCAAAACTGCAGTTTAGTGACGACGAAGAGGAAGCTCGGGAAAAAAGCAAACGTAAACCGGCGACCTACAAGCCATTTAACAAACTGTTGGAGAATGTTGTCCTGGTCATCAGTGGCATACAGGTTGAAGTTTTTCGAACGTTTGATTAGTTTAATTTTGTATAGCGTTGTTCTTAATGTTTTACAGAACCCTGGTCGAGCTAATCTGCGAAACCAAGCGATCGCATTGGGAGCCAAATACAAATCCGACTGGGATCCAAGCTGTACTCATTTAATGTAAGTGCCAAGCTGATGTCTATTTAATCCTACCACTTTTCTCCATGATTAAACGATGATTAAAATTCCAGCTGCGCTTTCAAGAACACGCCAAAGTACAACCAAGTGCGTGGCAAAGGTAAAATTATAAAGAAAGATTGGATCGAACGGTGCCATGCGCTGCAGAAGCGTCTTTCGTGGCGTAAGTTTGCCCTGGACTCAAGTGAAGCAGAGCAAACGGATTCCGAGGGCGAAATTGTCGACATTGCCAACAAACCAAGTCCTACTGGGTCCAGGGACAAAACCAAGGAAAGCAAAGGGCATGTTCGAGAAACAGACGAAGAAGCACTGGCTCATTACGATCTGGATGATGTAGAGCTGGTGGAGAATCCGAAACCGGACACAGTTGAGATTTCCGGATCGGATACGGAAGAGGAGATCGAGCGAGTGAAACAGAAGAAGCAAACCAAGGAGACGGGCGCAATGTACGATAAGAGTACCGAGGACGAAGGCCAAAACGGCAATGCAGACGCTTTCGCCCCTTTGGAATTCTTTAAAGGGAAAACATTCTTCGTAGATCCCGAAATCGGTGCCGTTGACATGATCAAGCTGGAACGTTACATTCAATTGTATAAAGGGTAAGAACATGTTCTATTCTTTTTTCATTCGGTCGTATAAACGAAATCTTTGCAGAACTGTGGCCAAAACACCAGCAGAAGCATATTACATTGTGACACGTAACAATAAGCCCATGGGTGAGAATTTCAAAGGTGAACTAATTAAACCCCTTTGGGTCTACGAATGCCACGACATGGAATGTCTCATCCCTTCTCAACGGTATCGACCATAACGGAGCACAAGGTAACTATTGCTCGTTTTCCACGTTCTCTATTTATTAAATTATCGGTTCATTTTAATCAATACAAAAGTTAGTGCGAAACTCAAACGATGCTTACACGGAAAAAAGATTGAAAAGAAATCCCTCAAACGATCATTTCAAGTTCGCGCGCATAGAAGATTGCCTGTTCTGCCAGCTCCTGCGATGGCATCGGGTCCTTGGGCTTAACCAGCTCGCCGGCAAAGTGATAGAATCCGTCCGCACCAAGCTTCCAGGCCTTCTTCTCGCCAAACTGTTTGACTTCATCCTTCGATTTGAGGTTTAACCGTTTGGCAGCCTCCTGAAGTGAAACCCTCTCGTACGAACTCTCCAGACAGACACCGATCTCATCTCGAACCGTCTGCAGCAGAATCTCGGTGAAGAAGTTATATCTCTCCGCCGGGGCATTCCCCTTTGCTTGGAAGATCTTGTTATAGCGACCTTCCATCAAATACTGCTCCAAAGCTAGCGGGTGGCGAATGTACTGGTTAGATTGGATGATGTCAGCCGGAAGTAGCTCTAATTCAGTGTGGAACTCGGCTACGCGATTCTGCGATAAAAGGAACAGCAGGTTCAGGCCCAGCAGTTGGTATTTGTTCTTCGATTCTCCCAACTGATTTCTGCAAAAGCCATTTTCAATATTTATAATCCCGCCCTTCCAATCATATCCACTACCATACTTACTTATAATCGTAGTAGTAGCACTTGAGCTGTGAAATATATCTCTCGAAGGCAGGAATATTCTTAGTGGCAACACTGTATTCAACGCCAATCTCAAGAACGTCCCGGGCAATCACCAGTTCTTGCTGCGATGCCGCATTGACTCCCGTGGGCAAGTAGGACAACTCAACGAGCGCAATCTGTTACGATTAAAAGACAATAATGCTCATTACAAACCCTTCACACAAAACATACAAAATAAACCAACCTTCAATTTATCCAGCAGCGAGCCACACAGCTTCAGGTTGACGGGGCTTTTGGTCCATTCGGTCCGCAGTTGTTTGTACAGGGCAACGACGTTATCCATCTTTGATTGGCCTTCCTTGGGGGTTCTGGGTTTGGCGCTCACCAGATTCGATACAGTTGGCTTTCGGAAAAGACTGGAGATAGTGGAAATTGAACAATATTTAAATGCACGAAGCGATCACTAAACACAATGGACCATCAGCAAAACTGCACAAAATTGAAATGTCATGACATAAAACCGCTTGACTGATTCCACTGTACGGATGACAGATCTGTCATCAGAAAGTGCATGGCAGCGGTACGGTACCGCACTCCGATGCGATGATGTTGATGTACCGCTAGACATAAACAAACAATAACGCGGTGTGCTCGTAGCTTGGTTTACCATTAAAAAAATGAGAGAGCTGTGTCCGAAACACAACCAATCTAACCAACAAAATCACATGAAAGCTAATGAAACCTACATTTAAAAAATCATAATGAATTCCCAAATGAACAGGTACCATACAAAAACGATATTATATATGGTGCGAGCCTAGACTCTTATTATTGTTATTGTTTATGCGGCTTGTAACGGAATTTGCGGAATCCCAAATTTGTGCACTGGTACTATTTTAAATAAGTGCGATTACATTAGCAAAAATCACCATCTTAGCACTCCTCGGATACGAACCAGCCCAGGGCTGAAAGTCTCATTAATAAAGATACAAAAAAAACATCTTAGCACCCCCCTAATAAAAATTGTATGGTTAATTTGCTTAACGACGTGTGCTGGGTATCATCCAAACCATTTATGGAATAGTTCAATGATTTGAGTTATCGTTCGTTTATGGTTATTTTTTATTAGGGCCCTCGCAGGCAATTTGTATCTGAATTGGAAATAAGGCTGGCGCACAATGTATAAGTTTCCGGTTTTTTTTTTACAGATAATGCATGGGCTAACTGTCAAAAAACCTGAAAACTTATCCATTGTGCGCCGGCCTATACTCGAAATGGTTGTCAAAACAAATCCAACGTTCAGGACCAACCAGCGTTGCCAGATTGTTTTAAAGCATATCGGTATCGAAGGTATTAAAAAATCGGTATTTATCGGTATTTACTATTTAATTAATCTTATATGTTTGCCGTTTTTGAAAGCAAAATTTTCAACAATGGTGACGACTCGGACTTGAGGGAAATTGCTGTGTTTATTGGCTTTCTCAGCCTTAAAACACTCTTAATTTTTTTAATTTTTTTTTTTGATTATTGTTGTCCTTAAATGGTGATCGAAATTGTGATCAAGTTGTTTTTTTTCAATTAAATATCATTAAATGAAAATAAAATATGGAAAATCAGCCACAATAACGACTAAACTATTGACAATAACAACAAACAATATTTTCCCTTGAAAAAAGATACAACTCATGGCCGGGCAGTTATATCGTAGAAATTTCAGGGAGAATTAATTGATCTTCCTGGAGAAGACGAAACAAACTTCCTGTAGACGCTGGCAGAAACTTCCTAATGTAGATTGGAAGAAACATCTGAAGAAAGTCGGAAGCCAGAGTGCTTACGAAACAGTCGAAAGAAACAAGGACATAATTCCGGAAGAAAAAGATTCCTGGGGGATGTTCAAATGATCCAAAAAAAAATCCTGATATATGTATAAAACATCCCTGAAGACTTCGCAATTTCCCTGAATTTTTCGGAACATTCCTGAAAAGCACTTAGGAATATTCTATAATTCCTCGAAATTCCTTAAAAGTTCTTGTAATTTTTTCTGAAATGAGGGGCTGTTTTAGAGTTCTCTGGTCATCCTCGAAGCGCTCGGAATTTCCCTAATTATAATGAGAATACCGGAATATCTCATCCATCGGAGGCATCGTGTTCGGAGTGTTAAAAACCCATAGAACTTCCCATAAAATGTTCTCACAATGATCTAATGTTCATGTAACTTCAATTACGTTTCCTAAATTTTGCATGAGCCCTTCAGGACATTGCTAAAGTTTTCGGAAATTGCCTGAGTTTCTCGGAACTGCTTTATAATTTCAGCAATTTCATTGAAATTCATTGATCTGTCCTGATGTGCTCTGAGCTTCACTAAAGTTCCTGAAAACCATTAAATTTCCCTGAAGTTCTTTGAACTTGTAAACTTTCCAAAATATTTATGATGTTTCCTTAAGTTCACTGGAGTTCGCTGGACTTTTCTGAAATGTCCGGGTTTTCGAATTTCAACAGAAATTTATGAAATCTTTAATTAATGGAAACTTACACAAAAGTCTGGACTTTCCTGAAGCTTCAGAACTTCTTAAATGTTCCTGCAGCTAGTGTGGATCCGCAATAAAAATCTGATAGCATCCTTAAAGTTTCGGGAAAGTTGAAAAAACTGGCGGGAGAAGATAAAAGAATCATTCGAGCGAAGGTTGAAGAAGCTTCCAAGGTAAGGGGGAAGAAAATTCCAGGGAAAGTTGAATGAAGCTTCAGGAAGTTAAAAAATGAATTTAAACGTCCGGAAGCTAAATAATGTTTGAAAAATATTTCTCGATTCCCTAGATAAAGGGTGATACGGTCAAAATTTGGTCAAGGGAAAACGCGTGTAAATCGGTGAAATCGTTTATTTAAAAAATCAAATTAAATTTCTTTTTCAAGTTCAATTAGTATAAAATTCAGGAAAAATATTCAGTTAGGCTTCCGCTTTTCCAAATCCGAATTGCCGGGCCTTACGCTTGACCCCTGCCATCAGATTTTGTACAGCCACCTTGTCCACCTTCTTCGCCGCAGAAAACCAGTTTGCCTTGAACTGCTGCTCGCCCTTAGCAGTTTTTTTGGTCTTCTTTAGGTTCCGCTTGACAATAGTCCAGTATTTCTCAATTGGGCGGAGCTCTGGCGTGTTGGGAGGGTTCTTGTCCTTGGGAACCACCTGCACGTTGTTGGCGGCGTATCACTCCATGGCCTTTTTACCGTAATGGCAAGATGCCAAATCCGGCCAAAACAGTACGGAACAACCGTGTTTCTTCAGGAAAGGCAGCAGACGTTTATTCAAACACTCTTTCACGTAAATTTCTTGGTTGACAGTCCCGGAAGCTATGAAAATGCTGCTTTTCAAGCCACAGGTACAGATGGCTTGCCAAACCAGATATTTCTTTGCGAACTTTGACAGTTTCATGTGCTTGAAAACATCTGCTACCTTTCCCCTTCCTTTTGCCGTATAAAACTCCTGTCCCGGAAGCTGCTTGTAGTCGGCTTTGACGTAGGTTTCGTCGTCCATTACCACGCAGTCAAACTTCGTCAGCATCGTCGTGTACAGCCTCCGGGATCGCGCTTTGGCCGTCGTATTTTGTTTATAATCGCGATTTGGAGTCACTACCTTCTTGTAAGCCGATAGTCCGGCTCGTTTTTTGGCTCGATGCACGGTTGTAGACGATACACCCAGCTTATTTGCGGCATCTCGGAGAGAGAGGTTAGGGTTTCGCTTGAAACTACCGGCAACTCTCTTTGTCGTCTCAGCGGCTTCCGGTTTTCGATTTCCCCCCGATCCAGACTTCCTGGCTGTCGACAACCGTTCCCCAAACACTTTAATTACATTTGTAACGGTTGATTTGGCAACTTTTAGCGATTTTGCCAACTTTGCGTGCGAGTAGCTCGGATTTTCGCGATGCGCGAGCAAAATTTTGATACGCTGCTCTTCTTGCTTGGACGGCATTTTGACAACTGAAGAGTGAATTCCAAAATCAAAATAGGAGCAACATTCTACACACACACACCTTCAAAATGAGGGGTGTTCAGGTTTTTTAAATGCAAAATTGAAAGAAATACGTCAAGTTGATATTGACCAAATTTTGACCGTATCACCCTTTAGTACCGGAAAGAGCCATCGACTTTTTCTCGATTGATGGGTAACCAATGAAAAAGAGGAAATGTTAGTCGAAAGAGTATCAAGCATAAAGCATATTTGGAGATGATTTTTTAGAATTTTGAAGGCTCAAAAAATATGAGGTATTCAAAAAGATACTAGTCGCTCACAAAAATTTTCTCCAAAATTCGAGCGCGGGCAGGCCATAATAATTTTGATTATGTAAAAAAAAATCGGTATAAATCGTATAAAATCTTAAAAATCGGTATTCTGAGGAACCTTATCTGTATATCGGTATCTAGTTCGGGATCTCATTTTTGCTCTGAAAATAACAAAATCAAAGTCAAGAAATTTTATATATTTTCAAGCAAAATAAATTGTTAATTAAAAGTGATCGACTCCGCACCACTCAGCATTGTATAAAAAGAGCTGTTGACTAAAAGATTTAGGTTGTGTACCATTCGAGGTACCATTTGGTGAATTTTTACTTAAATTTGAAACTTCGAAAATAAATTTTAATGTTCGAAAATCCCTCTGTTGTTGATCTTCCGATTTTCGTGAAGGTTTTTGACAAAATTGATTCCTGGTCTGTCAGAAATAAGTCTGGCACAATAGCAGGTTTATTTGAAAAAAAAAAAACATCTGTCAAATTTAAGTAAAAATTGACCAAACGGAACACAGCCTTATTGCAACAAATTATAAATTTAAATATCGGTACGTTTCTCAAAATCCAACAACCCAATTCATGTAAGCACATAAATTGTAATGTGAAATTCTGATAATTTAATTAATTTTTGGATGAAAATTTTCTCTAATAAAAAAATACCATACTCGAACAGTAACCCGAATGATAGAACCATAGAGGTAACTCTAATACCAGAAGGTCCCGAAGAAACGTGTTCAACTTTTTGGCTCAGCTCTAGCATAGAGGTAACTCTAAGACCACTGGGTCCCGAAGAAAATCATTATTATTTTTGGCTCACTCAGTACCAGAACAACGGTCCCAAGCAGTCCCAAGCTATTTCACTCACCCCTGCATGTTCTGCATGAATCCACACACCCCTGATGTTATCTGTCAAACTTTCATAGCGAACCAAAACAAACATAGTGTAGTAATAGAATTTCGACTAGAATAGGGTACGTTAATCGTTTGCTTGGGACCAATAGGCTACTAAAGTGGTGAGCCAATTTAAAATCGTTAGTTTCGTATTGATTGTTGGCTCTAGTACGCTCTTCGGTCCCAAGCTAATCGATGCTCCCCTCGAAACATAGGAAAATCCACGAACCCCTCATTTTATCTGTCAAACTTTCATAGCGAATCAAAACAAACATAGTGTAGTACTATAATTTCGACTAGAATGGGATACGTTAATCGTTTGCTTGGGACCAATAGGCTAGTCAAGTA